ACACACACACACACACACACACACACACACACACTCAGACAGAGAGAGCCTTAAAACCTTAGCTTTAAGCCCTAAACATAACACTAGAAAAAGTTGTGTTTATCCTTAGAAAAATCTACCCAGCCCTGGCATTGGTGGCACACACCTTTAATCCCAGTACTTGGGAAGCTGGGAAGCAGAGGCAGGCGAATCTCTGTGAGTTTGAGGCCAGCCTGGTCTACAAAGCAAGTTCCAGGACAGCCAGGACTGTTAGACAGAAACCCTGTCTTGGGGTGGGGGTGGGGGGACAAAATCTACCTGGCATAGGCAAAAATGTAAATTTTTAATTACCAGTCTAAGTGTCTACCCCCCAAATATGTAGTATATAATTTATTCTTGGTCAAGATAAATCCAGTTAAGCTGGAGGCATATATACTAAATTAGGATTAAACTATTAAAAATATAGACAAATTATTATTGAAAAAAAACAGTGATGCTTAGATATTGGAAAAGTAATATCTCTGAAGTAAGAAAAAAATGAGGTAAGCTCCCTATTACTTAGAAGGGTTTTAGGGCCCAGCACAGCATGTTGAAACTGATATTAATCTTGGCTGTCAGCCTGACTGAACTGAGAAATGCCCCAGATTAAGGAAAGCACACAGTGGGACTGAAGAAGAGCTCAAAGGTTAAGTAGGAACACTAACTGCTCTTCCAGCGGACCTGGGTTCAAGTCCCAGAATCCACATGGCAGCTTACACCCATCTAAGTCCAGTTCCAGGGGATCCGACACTCTGTTCCAGCCTCTGCGGGCACTACACATGCAGGCAAAACACTCACAGTACGATACATCTCTAGCATGCTGTCTGTGAGGCCATTTGCAGAGAATTCTCCAAAGGGAATATGAGCCCCTCTGAATATAGATGCACCATCCCATATACTGCAGTCCCAAACAGAATAAAAATGGAAAAGAAGACAGCCCCACCAGACGTCCCCTGCTTCCGAGGCCAGCCTCCTCTACCATTCTATCTGCCTGCCATGATACAGCTTGTGTTTCAGGCCCAGGGTCTCAGGACTCAGGAACCAAGAACTGAAAGCTATAAGCCTAAATAAGCCACACCTTCCTTGAGTTATTTTTGTTAAGTATCTGACACAGCAACAAAAAATCTAACAGAGACCAACCAGAAATCAGCAGCCTCCCTGAGTTGAGGACATAGTTAAGAACCCAGAGAAGGCTCTCTCCTCTCTTTCTCCTCCTGTCTCCCTCTTCTTTCCTGTCCTCTCCCTGTGTCTCTTTACCTCTTTTCTTTTTCCTTCCTCCTTCCTTCCCTTTCTAATAAAACTTTCACTCAAAATAAATAAATAAATAAATGAACCCAGAGAGGTTAAAGCAACTCTAGTTCTCAGGACAAAGCAAACCAAGAATGAGAGGAGGACACAGAGGAGGAGGACATAGAACAAAGTTTTAAAGTCACCCTTGTTTTGAGCCGACTGAAGATCAATTTGTGTGTGTCAGGAAGCAACCTGAAGCTGAGTAAAAATCTACTGAGAAGAACAGAAAGAACAATTCCACAGGCTCACACTCCATTAAGAATGCATCATGTGGTGGTGCCTGCCTTTAATCCCAGCACTTGGGAGGCAGAGGCAAGCAGATCTCTGAGTTCCACGACAGTCAATACTGTTACACAAGAGTAATCCTGTCTCAAAAAAAAAAAAAAAAGCATTCTGTTTCCATGAGCTATACTATACTAGAAAATAACTGGAAATACACAGGGTAGGAACAGGCCATCAGAAGGGCATGACCTCAACAATGTGGCAAAGTTATCCCTAGGTTGAAAGGTTGGGTCCTACATAACAGCCATAAAGCAAAACTCCAGGACCAATTATTAACAGGTAACTGCGATCCAGAATAAAGCTGAGAAGGGTGTGGGGCACACA